CAACATTCGTCAACCTGCCGAACTTTGGCGTGATACGGTGTAGCTTCAAGGTCTCAAACGTGCGGCAATGATGAATCACATCAGCTACCGAATTGAGGCTCTCCTTGCCAATCAAGTAGGTATACACGTCTTCGGTAATGCCTTTCAGAAGATGCCCGACTTTGTCCTCTTTGGATATACGAGGATTCACTGTCTTACACAGCTTCAGGATTGTCTCAATGTACGTGGTACAAGTCTCACCTGGCACTTGAGCACGCTGAAGTAATGTCTGTTCGGCTCTCTTTCTTTTCGCAGTGGAATCCCCCCAGCACTCTGTGAGTTTGATGGCGAAGTGATCCCAGGTTGTTAATGACTCTTCGTGGTTCTCGAACCACACAAGAGCAGTGTCTGTCAGGAAGAGAGCAACATACTCTAGCTGATATGTAGCATCCCAGCCGTTGCACTTGCTCACGCGTTTGTAGTGTGTCAGTCAATCTTCCATGTCTTTGCCGGTTTCCCTGAGAAAGGGCGTGGCTCCAACTGACGCATCCAGGCACCGGGTGTCCGCGTCAAAGGAGTTGAAAATGACTGTAGGTCACCGTTGTTTGACATCGCGAGTTCCGGTAGTGTTGGAGGCAGTCGCGCGAGGCGTCGGCTTCGGCGAGGACCTAGCGGCAGTGGCTCCATCGTCTTGAGTGAGTGCCCAGCATCTCCACCACAAAACTGTTACGGTTAAAGTCGAAGGGTGTTTATTAGCAGGGCGAAGTTGATGGTTCGGTAGTAATGGCGTCAGTCTCTGCCCCAGTTCACGTCTTCCTTCTCTTCTCCTCTCTCGGCTCATACCCGTTGCAATATTTTATTGTGAAGTCGGTATACAGGATAGGTTTGTAAACATAGGCGTATCAGCTGGGGGGAAAGGGGTGTGCTAGCTTTCTCACTGAGCAAGGTTAGGGAGGCTGAGCACCACCACTTTCGACAGTAGTCACTCTTGGCTGCACGCTGAGGAAACCAACAACTAAGGCGAAGTTTTCTTTCACCATAGCAATCACTCAAATATATTGTTATGAGGGAATGTTACGATATAATTTTTCAAAGGTTCTCCCGTTTAAATTATGAACGTCTGTTGCCGCTGCTTTTATGTAGATAAAAACTTTGAGGCGCATACCCATGTATCGCAGCCTGTGGTGTACGAGTATGCAACACACATGACTGAAAGAAAGTTTCATGACGTACAGGACATGATTTTCATGTTGTTTATGTTGAAACCAGACACATCTTTTCATACCCTTGCACCCCCTTATGCCGATTTTGGTCTGTAATAAAGTGATGTGGCAATACAAGAGCACTTGGACATAGTATACCAGATAGGTAGATCAGTATACAGAAACGCTCAAACTACCTTTGGGTATCTAAGGATTGCTTCGCATTTAAATACTCAATTCTTTGTGAACTGCTTTTAGTCGCTAAACATTTCATTGCAGGATACAAATATACACTGTTGGGGAGGCTGCCATCAATATAATTTTATTCATGCCGAAATTCGTGAGTTGCGAGCGGGTCGATCAAGCTCTTGGTCTTCATATATATGTATCATCATCATCATCGTCAGCCTGACTACGTCCAATGCAGGACAAAGGCCTCTCCCATGTTCCGCCAGTTAACCCGGTCCTATGCTTGCTGCTGCCAATTTATACCCGCAAACTTCTTAATCTCATCTGCCCACCTAACCTTCTGTCTCCCCCTAACCCGCTTCCCTTCTCTGGGAATCCAGTTAGTTACCCTTAATGACCAGCGGTTATCCTGTCTACGCACTACATGCCCGGCCCATGTCCATTTCCTCTTCTTTATTTCAACTATGATATCCTTAACCCCCGTTTGTCCCTAATCCACTCTGCTCTCTTCTTGTCTCTTAAGGTTACACCTACCATTTTTCTTTCCATTGCTCGCTGCATCATCCTCAATTTAAGCTGAACCCTCTTTGTAAGTCTCCAGGTTTCTGCTCCGTAGCTAAGTACCGGCAAGATACAGCTGTTATACACCTTCCTCTTGAGGGATAGTGGCAATCTACCTGTCATAATTTGAGAGTGCTTGCCGAATGTGCTCCACCCCATTCTTATTCTTCTAGTTACTTCAATCTCGTGGTTAGGCTCTGCGGTTATTACCTGCCCTAAGTAGACATAGTCTTTTACAACTTCAAGTGCACTATTACCTATCTCGAAGCGCTGCTCCTTTCTGAGGTTGTTGTACATTACTTTCGTTTTCTGCAGATTAATTTTAAGACCCACCTTTCTGCTCTCCTTGTCTAACTCAGTAATCATGAGTTGCAATTCGTCCCCTGAGTTACTCAGCAATACAATGTCATATATATATATATATATATATATATATATATATATATATATATATATATATATATATATATATATATATATATACAAGCTGATTATTGAGTCGCAAAAGAGTTGGTACGCCACTGTTTGTAAAGAAAAAGTTATTTTCACTTTATTTTCAAGCAAAGACGTGGCTGAGAGGTAGAACACCTGCTTACCATGCAGACTGGCTCAGTTTAATCTTTGCTTGAACCAGAAATTTTTATTACTTATTTTATTTGCATCTTTCTGTATTTTTCGGTCACGCACAACGGAGGAAGTTTCTTTCTTTTCACTTCATTTTCAAAGTGGTAGAACGCCTGAGTGGTAGAACGCCTGATTGCCATGCAATTGGCATAGTTCAATGCCTCACTAGAACCCGGAAGTTTTTATTATTTATTTTCTTTGCATCTTTCTTGATTTTTCGCTCACAACCAATGACGCCGACACTGATATTCGTGTGACACAAGCTTTTCAATGCTATAGCATTTTTACTAGACTTGTGCAAATATTTTAATGCTTTGAATATTTGAATGAATAGTACTGTATTTGAATTTGCTTCTATTTGATTTAAATTGCCAAAAATTTCGAAATATTCTAAAGGAATGAATAAATGTATATTAATCCGCATTTAATTCTTCTAAAGGAGGTTTTGCTGCAGTGGAGGAGTGTTATGCTGTGAAAAGGCCTGTTCTTATGTATATTATGTAGTTTGCATAGTGGGATAATCAGGGTGAAAGTGGAAGTGCCTCAGATAGGCTGGCCAGTGTTTCGATAGAAGGACCTATTATTGTCAAAGGTGCCTTGTCATCATTGGCTGCTTTTTTTTCTTTTTGCTTCCCTCTTCCCCTACTTTTGAGAAGACAATCATTGTAACTTAACTTGAAATGAAGTGAGGGCTGCACTCTTTCTGCTTTATAGATTTTTCCTTTTCTGATGGCAATTACCAACAGGAACACGTGCCACCATAAGATGATGACATCACTATTAACCCCCTTAAACATAACACACCAAGGATGACAAGGCACCCTTGACAAAGATAGGTCCTCTTATCAAAATGTCAGCTAGCTTGTCTGAGGCACTTCCACTGTTAACCCTAATTATTCAACTATGTGTTTTCATCGGTCGGCTCCCATCTTGATTTATCAGTTCATATGTAACTTATTGTAAAAGTGGTTTCACAGCAGTAAAGGGGAGCTAAACTATGAAAACATTTGTTCGAGGAAAATCTACACAATTACAAAGTTCTATTTTAAGGTTAAAGGAATATACTGCCCTCACATCGATTCATCAGTTTTTAAATTTAAAAGCTTGATGTGATGACTTGTGTGCTCTAGTTATTGTAAATTTTATAACAGTTCATATTTTTAGGTTGTCACTTGCATTTTACCAAAAATCAAATCCTGCTGTTCTTCAAGGTTGTTTCCACTCCTTTTGAATGAAAAAAGATGGCATTTGCATATGCCTTGTTTCAATTAAAAAAATATTGTGCTGGTTAGTTGGGTTGTAAAAATATGTCCTGTTTTTGTTATAATATGTGCTATGTACACTAGTCAAATTTGATTCGAAATTATTTGACCAAAGTCACTTTTCGCTTCAATATTAAAATTCAGTATTTGCACAAGCCTAGTTAATACCCATGTTTCTGTTGACATCATTACGCACGATAAACAACGGTTTAAATAAAATCTATGCGACTGTTTAATATGCATCTGTGCGTACTACATTTGTACACATCTTAACCCTGTAATGCCCAGGAGAAGTTATGCCTTCAGAAAAATTGCAACAAAATGCTTACTGTTTTTACTCTTCTTGTACAGATAATTTTATGTAAAGTAATTATGACGATTTGTTTGAGGTATAACCTAATTAGTACTAATTGGAAATAATTATTTAGTATCATATAATATGTAAGTCGCTGTACCTTCTTCATAACATGCCAAATCTCCTATAGCTGCTTATCGTGACACCTATAGTAATAGCTTTTAGTGGCCTTATTGAGATATAATTTTCAATGTATGAAATATGATACAGTGGGAATGGCAGGGGTAACATTTTGCTCAATAAAAAAAATACAGCACGGTCATCATCCCTCTGCATGTTTTGCATGACATCAACTCTCAAGGTACGTGGAATAAATCAAATTTTTTCTGACCAGATTCTGCTTTGGTGCGTCCTGATTAAAATTTTGTCACTTCCCTGTAATGTGCTGTTCTATTTTTTCTGCGCACTTTGTGCGCACCTGGTGCAATCACCTTGGATTTTGCCCTTGAAAATCAATGACTAATATCCCAAACTGGGTACTAGATTCATGATTTCCAAGAAAGGGTGTGTCATAAACAATTATGCACAACACTATTCTAATATAAACTGCCCTTATGCTAATAATTAAAAAGTTCACAAGTTTCTGTTAATGAGTCTCGTCAACATCATTTTAGCTGCAGGAAACTATTTTCACCTTGACAGAGTTTATGTGCAAAAACGACAGTAGCCTGACTGTCATAGAATTTTCATAAAGAATCTGTATTATCTAAAAAAACACCCTCTATTAGTATTAAGTGCTACATATGAATGTACTAAGCCAGTGGTTCTCAAATAAGGTTCCGCAGAGCCAGTCGTAAAAGTCGTTAATTTTCCTTCTCTTCATTTCAGACTCTCTTGAACGGTCTATACCTGGTATTCAGGCAAAGATGTTCACCTTCCCGCATCAATACAGTGTGGCCAAGTATCCTTTTGTAAGTGCACTGTTGTCATGCTACGCTTGCATGCAAGAAAGTCTTGCAGAGTCATCTGCATGCTGTTGTGTACTGACTTGGTATGTGATCAAGTTCTTGTGTTTGGTTGAAAGGCAAAATTTTACAGTTATTTGCTTTTTCATAATGCATGCCCATCCATGTTTCTTATGAAATGCTTCATTCATGAAACATTTCATAAACAACATTAGATGCACACACAAGCGATACTCATATTAAAAAAAAAAAAGGGTAGCCACAGGGGAGGTGGTGGAGGGATAAGCGCTTGCTCGATCATTGGCGTTTATTTTGGATCTCCCCCTTCCCCCCCAAAAAAGGAAGGGGGGTGCTTGCTCGGGTCGGGACGCTCACTTGGTATTTTACAGTAAGCTACAGTTAACTGTATATTTTGTGACTAACATGTTGTGGACTAAAACATTAAGACATTAATACACCAGCAATGAATTTACAGTGGTAAAGGAGTAAAAAAAAGGAGCTTTTACAAGGCTTCATTATTTTAAATGTACAGCCATGCAGTGCACAGGGGACATATTATAGGTATTTTTTTTGGCTGTGTATTACAGTGTGTCCATAAGTTTATATGAAAGACTCAGCAACTGTTTTGACCTCAGTGGCATACAAGAGGTGTGTCTCTATATTTGAAACATGCTTCATTCACTGCTAGAAGCTTTTTTGAAGACAGCTCTGTTTTGCTCATAGTTTTAAAGAGAGATTCTACTCGAAATATGCTAGTCTTTTCGAAAATTACATATTTCTTGTTTTTACTTGCTTTCACAAGTTCATTTTTTCTCTTCTTATGGCTAAAAAATTAAGGTTGTAATTAAGCATCGTCAAATAGGTTAAAATCGCTTTTAAAAAGCACAGGGTGGCTATTAAAAACTATAAAAAGCTGATTGTCCAGAGTTCTCTGCAAATTTTCCTCTGGCTGCTTGTCATTGCATTTCCTATGAGTTCACTAAAACCACATGCTCAAAATTACCATCATGATTCCAGAGCTTTTGTGATGGAAGAAGTCATTTTGAAAAGCATATCTTTTCCACATACTAAATAAGCTGTCATTTCTACGTTTAAAATGCATTTTTCTCAAGATGCAATTGTGGGCAACTTCTTGAGATTGGACATAAAATCTTTGGCACTTGTGATGGCCAGATCAGGATGAAATTTTCCCCACATATTCCGTACAATGTGAAGAGTGCAGTTATTTCCTTTCAAACCTGATGTAACTTGTATAAATATCTTGAACCTAAAGTAAGGAATTAGTATCAATAAAATTCATGTTCTTTTCAAAGTTACTAAACTAACTCTCTCCACTCGGTGCCCAAAACGCACCACCCGAAGTGGTATAGCAAAGTGGGAAAAGAAAAGTACAGTCGTTATGCAATTAACGGCGATTGACTTGCTGGTCGCTTGAAGATGTAGCAGACACGCTGGAGAAGTTCTAGTAGGCTGAGAAAAACTCATATTTACAGACTGTTCAGAAGTTACATAAGTATGGACATCAAACTTACAAAAAAAAGAGAAATCACTTTTAGAAATGAACTGTCTTCAGTAGGGCGACCCTACGAGATTTGGCAGAGCCGGCGGTGCCTAACACCTCAAGCTCGGTTCAAAACGCTTGGCGGAACTTTGTGGCCTCTTTTTATTCTCTCAGTGTTCCGCCCTTACACAACTCTCGGCGAATCGTCGCCTGTTTGTCCTCTGATAGGACAGTACACTTGGTTAATTAAAAAACCCGCCAGAAGGACGCCCCCTTCATGCATGTGAAGGCTCATGCCCTCTCCTCAAACCACACAACCACAAAAATGTAAATAAAAGAAAACTAGAAAAAGTCATAGAGGCATGGGCAAGCTTCGTGGCGCACAATTATCTAGACTGAGCTACACGTATGGGGGTTTGTGGCCACAGGAATGGCTTCCTTGTAACAAGTCAACTTCTTGATGATGGGGCAATAATCTGCCTGTCTCCTGTGCGCTGTGAGAGGAACCGCTCGCTGACCACCTGTGGTTCTACTTAACGACCTAGTTTGCAAGGATTAACAGGGAAGCAGTCGAAGACATGCCAATGCGACAATACGCACCAAGGTGCCGCTTGCACGTGTCGCAAGCCCGCCTGCTTCCGAGAGCCACCTGAACGAACCGGGACGAAAGGTTCACGGTGATCTCCACGTTTTTGCAATGCGTGCCGCAGAGGTTTCAAGCGTGCGAACATACATGGCTGGGCTGTCAGGTAGACCGATAGGAAGAGACCCTGCCGCGCTGGGTCTCAGAAGAGGCCAATTGATGTGCAAGCTGAAAGGGCGGAGAAGCAATTAGGGGGTCGTCACAATGACGTTTCTAATCCTACTCCTTTTGTCACTTACGTGTAGCCTGGTTTCTTCCTTCTTAGTTAACAAGAAACTGTGAGTGCTCAGCAATTTCGTGTGGGCACTCGGCCGTGTCCATGCGGCCAGGGCAGATCCGGCTGCACACTTTGACTGCGCCACGTCAAAGCAATGCTGCATGCCAGAGCAATGCAGCGCAACGGCTGGCATGCCTTCCCAAGCTTACCACACAAAAGAAATAAAAGTAAACAAAAAACTGCCGTGCAACCGCATCTTACCATGGTCCTTCAGTATGGGCTGATTATTATAAGATTTCTCACATTACTTTTTTTTGTTCATTAAAATGACTTGTACACACTTTCTTGTTAGTGGTTTTCATTCTATAGTTAATGTGATGAAATATGAGTGATTAATGGTTTATAATGATAAAGCTTTAGTGGCCGTAAAAGTTTCTCGAAAAGAGATATATTTCCTGCATTGTCATGATAGAAAAAGAAAAGTATGCAACTTACTATGAAACTATTTACATATTTGAAATAAGCATAAAAGCATGACAACCTATGTGAAACAGTGAAAATTCAGGTGCCCTTGTATATTGACTAGAAAAAACTTTTTTTTTTTAGAAGCACCTCCCTTAAAAGTGCATCAGTTTGCAGAAAAGAAAGAAAAAAATGGATTGCTTTAATTTACAGATTTTCATGCTCACATGTGAACTGTGTAGCAGTAAACAGTGGACAACATTTATTGCTTTGAAGACTTGCTAGAGGTGAGCCGTTGCACAGCCTCTATTCGGTGGATCAGCTGTATGGCCATAATATTTATTGTAGGTGGCCCTAAATTAGCACACGTTATATGTTGATACTAACTGTTTAAGAACCAAAACGATAAAAATGTGATTTTCTTTATGACTGTTACAATATGCTCAAGGTGGTGTGGTGTGTTAGTTGGATCCAGATTATATGTTAATATCTAGTTGAATCTATGGCTTAGTTCCTGCGATGCTTCATGTTATAAGGATCTTTTATCAGTGCCTATTTGAATGTATTGCTTCGATTTTCAAACACTAGAGTTTTAGATTTGGTCATTTCTTTTTTGTATAGCCACAGCATGTGCAGTGCTCATAGTTAAAGGCAGAATTGCATGTTTTGTTTGCATCATACAGTAATAACGGCTGTGTTACTGCATTTGTTGATGTAATGTTTTCAGGATACTTCCCTCCCCTTTGCTAATTGATGTTGGCTGCAGTGGTGTATGAAATAACTCCTAACATCAAAGGTAATTATTAGATCTCTGCATTTCCTGTGCTTCTCTGAATGTTTTGGGGGATGTATATCTGCATGGCTTCAAATAAAAAAAGGGCTCATATATAATGAAACTTGATCAACGTTGATTAAGTGATCTTTCAAATACTACGATAGCTAGTTCTCATAAAAATAAAATAAACTAGAATGTGTTCAGATTTATTTGCATCTTTGAACGTATACTTAAATTTACCAATTCAGCTGCACTGGCTGCACCAATAAATAGTGCCAAATGAAGTTGAATGTCGGATTTTTTTTATTTCTTCAGCATGCCATAAATTCAAGCACTACTGGTGAAAGCATTTTTAGAATGGGGACTGGAATTTTATGAAGTTTGACTGGTATTAGAATTTCTGTGAATATTTAATTATGTGGACCTAAATTATGAGTTAATTGGCATCTATAAAAAACTGTAAAGTGCATAATTTCAATTCTGCCTCAGTAGCTGTATGCATTTATGCAAAATACTAGGAAAAATATTCAGTTGGTTATCTTGGAATGCATAGGAAATAATGGTACCTGCCTAAGTAACAAAGAACATGGTTTTGAGATAATCGAGTTTAAAGTTAAAAAATGGCTGAAAAGCAAGCACACTACGTTACAAACACTGTTTTAACTACTTTAATTTGTAGCTAGAAGCTTGGTAATCATTTCCAAAGTCAATTTTTCACTTTCGAGCCTCTCGTAATGCTCACCTTGCTTCTTTTGTGAGCTGTCATGCAGCTTTAGCTGCAATGTATCATTGAGTGTGGTCAACGTTTTTCCAGAAAACTGTCTGCTGTTTGGCCAGGCCTCAACTGTAACCATTTCAGAGTTTTGGCTCGTGTGATATTGCCATCATTAAATGCAAAAACAGTATCCAATGTTGCGATTCTTTAGACTTTAAACCTAAACAAAAACAACCTAGACTCTTCGACACAATTTACATTAACTCAACACTTGCACCAAGCAGTTCGCAGATGTTATTCTGTCTGATTGCATCACAAGTAAGAGTCATGTTCATTAGAGCATATTTGTTGTCACCCTGCACGTGGTTCACCTCGAAAAACTCTGAAAAGGCTGAGAGGTTCACTGATGAAGAGCTTGCCTCAGTACATCACCGTCATTTATTCACATTTACAAGAGAACTGTATGAATTGCAGCGAAATTCACACTTGCTGAAGACCTTCTTTGCTCTTGGCATCTAAGCTTATTGACAAGCACGACAAACACAATGTGTAATGAAGCTAGGAGCTGAAAGAGTTCGAAGCGATGCACTTTTGAAGACAAAGTGAGAATGTAAAGACGCCAGTGTTTTTGGACTGCCTTATAGAAGTTACCTGACAATTTTCTATACACAGATGACTCTAAACAAGCATTCTGTCTTTTGTACATGTTTTTTTAATAGACTATACAGAAAGAACCTAGTGCATATGAGGGTGTTGCCGTAGGGTGCATTTTCATTCACTATTTGCTTTCTGAAAAACTGGTTTTGAGCCACAAAAAATTCTCTTCAAGAAAAGCACGAATGTGGAAAGTATGTACAATGGGACACCCTTCCCAAATTAAAAAAAAAGAAGTGATATTTTTTCGAATACTATTGCCCCTACCCTGTGTCCATAAAGGGGTTCTGACGTCAATTTTAAAAGCTGACCTTACTCCACCGTACAAATCTAGGTACAGAGACAGCTCTGAGCTGAGCAAGTGTGAAGCTCAGGAGATGGTGATGACATCTGACATTAAAGTCAATTTTCATGGTGTGCACCTACTTACATAGACACTAGCATGATGTCAGGCTGTAATGTCAATATTGGTCACTTTATGCACCAGTATAGCTGATCCCGATGACTTGAGGCAGGGGTCGGCAACCTTTTGAGGGGTAGGGCCAAGTTGCATGACGCCGACACGGTGGAGGCTTCATGGAAGATAAGAGTGGAGGGCGGGGTGGGGGTGGGGGGGGCTTTGAGGTGAAGAGAAAATTCAGTAAAATGATAATATTGATGTACAAAACTGGAATAGAAAAATTATTTTCAGCACACATGCCACAAGCTTGCAGTTCATCAACATGAGTTAGAAGCAAAATCTTTTAATGTGGCTTTTGGGTGGTGGGGGAGGTGTCCAAAATACCAATCAAGAAGGGTGTAAGGCAGGGGGCACAATCTCCCCAATGCTGTTTACTGCGTGCTTACAGGAGGTTTTCAGAAGCCTAGAATGGGAACAGTTAAGAATAAGAGTTAATGGAGAGTACCTTAGTAACCTGCGCTTTGCCGATGACATTGCATTGCTGAGTAACTCAGGGGATGAATTGCAACTTATGATTACGGAGTTAGACAAGGAGAGCAGAAAGGTGGGTCTTAAAATTAATCTGCAGAAAACGAAAGTAATGTACAACAACTTCCGAAGAGAGCAGCGCTTTGAGATAGGTAATAGTGCACTTCAAGTTGTAAAAGACTATGTCTACTTAGGGCAGGTAATAACCGCGGAGCCGAACCACGAGATTGAAGTAACTAGAGGAATAAGAATGGGGTGGAGCACATTTGGTAAGCACTCTCAAATTATGACAGGTAGATTGCCACTATCCCCTCAAGAGGAAGGTATATAACAGCTGTATCTTGCCGGTACTTAGCTACGGAGCAGAAACCTGGAGACTTACAAAGAGGGTTCAGCTTAAATTGAGGACGATGCAGTGAGCAATGGAAAGAAAAATGGTAGGTGTAACCTTAAGAGACAAGAAGAGAGCAGAGTGGAGTAGGGAACAAACGGGGGTTAAAGATATCATAGTTGAAATCAAGAAGAGAAAATGGACATGGGCCAGGCATGTAGCGCGTAGACAGGATAACTGCTGGTCTTTAAGGGTAACTAACTGGATTCCCAGAGAAGGCAAGTGAGTTAGGGGGGAGACAGAAGGTTAGGTGGGCAGATGAGATGAAGAAGTTTGCGGGTATAAATTGGCAGCAGCAAGCACAGGACCGGGTTAACTGGCGGAACATGGGAGATGCCTTTGTCCTGCAGTGGATGTAGTCAGGCCGATGATGATGATGATGATGATGATGATGATGGTGGTGGTGGTGGTGATGATGATGATGGTGTCCTGATGTCATGCCGGGGACTGCACAATACTGCCCTGTGGGTCGCATGCGGCCTGGGGGCCACTGGTTGCTGACCCCTGACTTAAGGTACCAGAGTGACCTTTTGCATGTTATCAATTGAGCTATAGAGCAGAGAGTTGCTCAGATCATTTCATGACATCAGGGTACAAGGAGCCAAAACTAGTTTTTAAAAACATGACATAGTAATTCATTTTTCAGGGCACACTCACACTTACCAGCACATTTTCTAGTCTCTTGGAAACATCTGAAACAACTGAAAATCTTTATGCCACTGCCCCTTTACAATATGATCATGTGTTAAAGTGAAATCAATGCCACCTCTTGAAAAAATGTTATTGTCTGCTGGACGATTGTAAGAAAATTAGTCCAATATTCGGCATGATTGGAGGTTATCACTGGCACTATTGCTGCATCAGAATTTTATTTTGGAATGATGTTTTTGGGCATTTTGTTTAAAAAAAGATTTATGATTAGTTTTGACTAGTCGTGATAGTGTATATGCAACTGATGCATGAGTTAAATGTGGGAATTCAGCTAAGATACAGAAGACTGTAGTGTTTGCACAGAACAGCGAACCGGTTAAAAGAAGATATTATGATAAAGAACTCTTAATAGGTGAATGGCATGATAAACAAAGGCTACAATATCCAAATTTCATGCTATTTATGTGTGAACCATATATATAACTACTAAATAATGATGCATTTTTCTCCTTGACAGCCTGGCTCTGCAAAAGATGTTGAAGCCACCCACTTAACTTCAGCTCATCTTATCAGCTCCTGCAGCAGCAGGGAGCGTGGTGTGTGTGGTACTAGCAAGCTACACCAGTCCCACTCGACTTATGCAAAGGATGAGCCCAACTTATCAGATTATGACAACTGGCTAGATAGCAAGGATCCATGCAATGTGCACGTGAAGTCCTGGAAAAGCAGCAGCACCCACTCAGTGGTGAGCTGTCCACCTGTGCTACTCCCCAAAATGCTTGTAACACGTGAGCAGTCCTCAAGCTCAGACAGCGATGTGAATTTTGGGAGCCTGCGTTCTCTTATGTCCTGTTTTACTTTGGGCTCGCACCGTAAAAAGAAGCGCAGGAAGAAAAAGAAGAAAAGCCATCGTCTAGTGATTGTGACAGGCTCGGACAACAGCAACTACTGTTGTCCTAGTGGAAGTGCATCTGCTGCACAAGTACAACAACATGCATGTGAGGGTGACATTCGGCATTCTGCTAAGAAGTATGGCACAAAGGAGCTGCCTTGTGTATCTAGTGGTCCAAAGGCCATCTGGAGGTACTCTCTGCAGGAAAAAGACCTGCAGAAAATTGATGCTTGTGAAGATCCTGTCACCATAGAAGTTACAGAGCAGAAGGCCCCACCAAAACTCCCTCCAAAAACCTGTACGAGAAAGAAACGCTTGGCTCCACAGCCTCCTGGTGATAGCATTACCCCAACAGGGACACTACAGAGAAAACAGCCTTTGCCACCAGTGGCTGTTTCTTGTAGCTCTTCTTCAATGAGCACTGAGAGCCTAAGCTTGACCCGACGGCGACCTCGGAAAAAGCCTGCACCACAGCCACCTAGGCGTGATGTTTGGCATTCAATAGCCAAATCAGGAACTCTTCCAAGTGTAATAGAAAAAGGATTATATGCCAATGAACTCGCAATAGATACCAAACCAGTGAATAGTTTAAAAGTGCAGTCACTTCCAAAAACTGATGTCAATATATCTGGCACTTCTGCTGTTCATCATTATTTACTTGAAACACAGCATTGTGAACAAGCTGTAAAAAGACAAGAATATGGGAAAAATTTAGCTGACTTGGTAGTCAAACCTGACCTCCCTGTTAAAACAATTCTGAGCCCTGTTACCTATGTAGATGATGACAGTACTAAGGCTACTGAATGTGTTATTTCCACTAAAAACAAAAGCATTAATGACAGTCAAGATGTTAAAATGTTTCATGAGAAAGGCAAACGAGCTTTCATCAGACCAGTAATCTCAGAGTGTGAAAGAAGCGTTATTCAACAACCTCAAGCCTCCAGTCGGGAAGTGCGGTCATCTACCCTACCACCAACTAGGCAGTGCCCTCCTATTTTAGAAGAGGAGGAACCATATGCCAGCACTGCAGTAGGTGGAGAGTCCAACAACTTAGAATCTGTATTGAAACGTAATTCAAATGTGTTAGAGCTGTTAGATGCTTTTAGCAAGCTTGAATTGAATTCTGATGAGACTCAAAAGGACAGTGAGCCTGAGTCACCAAAGCACTCTCGAAAGCAAGGGAAATCTCTGAAGTCACTCTTTCAGAAACACCCAGCAGATGCCAGCAAAGTTGTCTCTACAAAATGGACATATACTCCAATGGAATCCAAGAAAGATAACTTTTTGACCGCTTTAAAGCCTGGATCTCATGTTACTGCGGTACTTGAGGATAAGGGAGCAGCAGATTCTAAGACTGAAAACATTGACACGAGTTTGTGGGAATATGAGGCAAAGTGGGTCAAGGACCTGCCATCTCAATCTCCTATGAATATGCAATTAGCATCTTGTAGAATGAACCTCAAGCCCATCAGCCATTCTCCTGACTTTGGCAATGTGTTTTGCAAAATTCGTCAGCAAGGAGGAAGCCCTTCTCCTGGAAATCCACCTTGGGTATGTATGTTTGGGCATTAAAGGTGCACTTTACATTATAACAAATGTGGTGAGATACCTGTACTCTAAATCAAATTTTGATGCTTACAGTGAGTGAGCAATATATATGTGGTGAAATATATTTGCTTCTGGTAAGAAAAATGCTTTCTAGTCACTTTTATCAAAATGTGCATAAGCATTACTGTAATGGTTGCTTGTTGTATCTATGTTTTATTTTTAAATTAATCATATTCAAAATTTTTGTAGTGAACAAGGCTTTCAGTCTGTGTAGGTTTATGTATTGATGTATGTATTGCCTGTCATTGTTTACTTCTGTGGTATCAGTTAGATTAAACTAAGAAGCAAGCATCTTTTCGACTAAAAAAATCACTGTTTAATTTGCTAAACAGTACTACTTTTCTTTTGTTTAATATTTTATTGAATTGCTTTAGGACCCTTTACAATTCAGAGTGCATCATTATTGAAATTCTCACTTTATCAGAAATTCTTAATGCTTATTCGAGCTGGTTGGCACAGAGTACTTATATGTGAAAAAAGTAGTGTGCTTGGCTTTATCTCATAACATTTGCTGTTTTGCGAAAATGCTGCATAGCGGAACTTCAATATAATTTGACCTATGATGTTTAAAGGCAGGTATCTCAAAACTAGCAACAGTCTCAGGAATTAAGCTATGTGCATATGTTTAAAGGTACCCTAAAACACTTTTGAACATGGTGTTAGATATATAAGGTGACTGAACGCGGCGCTTCCCGAAAGGAGCGCGTGCATCGAGTTAACGACCGTAGTTCACGCGCCCTCCGAGAGAGAGCGGTGGCGCACTGCGGGCCATGTGCGGGCCGCGCTCGCTGCAAGTTCTCCTCTGGCGCGCGCGCGCGTTTCACTGTTGGTCGTGTTTTCGACTTGGCAGCTGATGTATGTCTTTCGACAGTGGGAAGAAAGTGCTTTGTACCACGGTGTAATACCGGTTACAAGTCCTGCGAGCAAAATTTTTCTCTATTTTCGGCCCCGAAAGACGAAGCTCGCCTGAAACTTTGGAGACATGCCATTCCGCGGAAGGATCGGATCTTTAAAGCGTCGGACCACGTGTGCGAGCGACATTTAGAGCCCCGCTTTGTCTCAAAGACCTGGACGGCTGAGTACAACGGGAACGTCCTTGTGAGTACCCCACGCCGAGCATGCCTATCTGACGACGCAGTGCCGTCGATATTTCCCGATTGTCCAGCACACCTCTCCAAACTGGTAAAACATCGGAAGAGACCAGCGGTCAGGCAGCCTGCCTGTGTTCCTAGGCAAAAGCGCTTTCATCCGGCAGATAGTGCCGAGAAAGCTGAAGAAGCAGATGATCCCAAGGTCAGTGACCTTGATCATGCAGGACCTTCATCCACTGAAAGCACCGATGCGGCTCCGTTCGAGGTTGGCGCCCCGGAAGTCATTCCGTCTGCCGAGGGGTCTCGTCAACAAGTTTTCAACAACTTGTTCGAGCAATCAGCCTCCGTAGTTCTTCCGTCCATATCATGGGGCTATCACAGGCGGGACACGGATGGAATCCGCAACGTTGCTTTTACTGAGATGAAGTGGAGCACAAGTCCAAAGGTGCGCGAACTGAGCACAGACGCCGCCACTTCTACAGAGAGCAGTCATTTGGTCACAACAAAGGTTGTTGACATTGACCAGAACATGCAGGTGTCTGTATCTGTGATGGGAAGGCGCGTATCAGTCGATGCGTTTCACATCCGGGATGACGTTGCTACTACAGAAGATGTCAAGACTTTTCTGCAAAGCTTGCATGAGATACCCATATGTGGCGGAGGGCCAAAGACAAGTGTGTATCCGCTGGCACATCCAGAGAGCGCATCTGTCGATGCATGCAATCGGTGGCGACACAAAAAGTGCCCTCTTCTTGTTCGTGGGAACAGCACATGCAAGTGGTGCTCAAGTTTATCTGACACACTCCGGATTTGCCAGAAGAGGGAGATGGACAAAAGAAACGGAACGAAACCGACCAAGCGCTACCGCTTCTCATCTGTACCAAGTAGTGACAGAATGCTTGCTTTCCGCAGAGCAAGGAATGCGCTGAAAAGGTCCAAAGAACGCTTGTTGAAACGTGTGAAGGTTCTTAGGGAAGAGATGAAGCAGGCCCAAGCAAAGATGCAAAGCATGTCTATGGAAGTGCTTAACGAAAAACTGGGGGCACTGAAGCTGCCTGCACCTCAAGTGGAATTAATTAAGGAATGTGTGTCGGCTGCCAAATGCCGAAGCAAGAACAACAGACGGTACACTGAGCATTGGATATTGATATGCTTGCTTTTGCATATTAGAAGCCCATCTGGGTACTCTTTTCTAAGAGACAATGAGATCTTGCCGCTACCTTGTGTGACCACGGTACGGAAGTACCTGTTAACGCTTCGGGTCAAATGTGGATTTGACACTCGTTTTTTTTCGGCCTTCAAAAAGAAGATAGCCACAAAGTCATGCTCGGAGCGTCATGGCATATTGGTTTTCGATGAAATTCAAGTAAGGAAAGAGATGAGAGTGAGCGCTAAGACAATGACGTATGCTGGATTTGCGGACTTCGGTGAAGCGGCAAACTCTTCGGATGAACTTGCGGATCATGGACTGGTGTTCACCTTTCGTGCGTTTGGTGATAGTTACTCTCAGCCAGTCGCTGTGTTCGCAAGCAAAGGACCAACAAGAGGGACAGTCCTCGCACAGCTGGTAGTGAAAGCTATTGTGCAGCTTGAGGATTCAGGAGTATTCGTCGATGCCATTGTGTGTGATGGTGCTGCAACCAATAGGGCTATGTGGAAGCAGTTCTGTGTAAGTGGAGAACTAAAGTGCACAAAAAACTCGTTCGTTCACCCTTTGGACGATAAGCGCAGTGTATATGTGTTTTCTGATGCACCATATTTGGTCAAATGTGTGAGAAACCGCCTCCTGAAACAGAAGGTGTTGCGGACTAACGTGGGGCGCGTAATGTGGGCACACTACGACAAGCTGTATGTTGAGGACAGCAAGCTTCCTGGTTACCTGAGGGGTTGTCCAAAACTCACCTTCTCACACATGAACCCATCTAGCACCGAGAAAATGAGAGTCAAATTGGCCACACAAGTGTTCAGCAGGAGTGTAGCTAAGGGCCTTGAATACTACTCAAGCAAAGGAGCGTCAGGTCTGCAAGATGTGAAAGCCACTGTAGATTTTACGCTAAGAATGAATGACTTGTTTGATGCACTTAACCAAAGTCATCCAAAGGAGGGACTGAGACAATGCGGTAAAGATTTGAGGGTCCTAGCTTCCTCTCTGCATTGGTTGAACACGTGGGAGAGGGAGCTTGTTTCTGGCACAATATCACGCGAGGACTTTTTGACAGAGTCAACAGCTGAGGGCTTGCGTGTGACAATCCTGTCTGCAATTCAGCTTTCGAAGTATCTTCTTGAGACTTGTAGTTTTAACTACGTTCTAACAGCCAAGTTTAATCAGGATGTGCTCGAGAGATTTTTTGGAATAATTCGCCAAGCTGCTGGTCAGAACGAGCATCCGTCGATGCCGACTTTCTTACAGCTTTACAACATGCTGTCCATATACAGCTTAATTAAGCCGCCAAAATTTGGGAATTGTGAAGTCCAGAATGCAAACGAACCTCAATTTCTGGCGCTCTCGGATTTCACATCAGCCTTTCAAGTGGATTGTGAGCAAGAAACGAAACTTGAGGAGCTGAAGCGAAAGCTTGATGGTCTGGTTGACGCAGATGTAGAGTGCGAAGAGGCGTTTGCTCATGTGTTCACAAGTGCGACTGTGGAAGATTGTATTGTCTATTATGTAACGGGGTATTTGTGTAGGAAGCTTCTGAGGCACACGGTTTGCTCTCAATGTAAGCTGGGGCTTGTATCACAGACAACAACCTCAGAGAAGCCCGAATCTGCTTTTGTAAACTGCAAGACTCGCGGAAACCTGCTGCACCCTACCACCAACGTGTTTAATCTGGTTTGCGCCACAGAAACTAGCTTTCAGAAGTACTCTGCGAGCAAGTTTGCTTACGAGCAAACTCTGGATGAGGTTATGGATAACTTTCATTTCGCATTTCCGTGTGCTGTTCACAAGACCGACATAATCGCCCAGATATTGCATTATTATATTTCAATGAGAATGAGGCAATACTGCAAACAAAAGTGCACGAACGGGCAAACAAACACGAGAGCTCAGAAAGAAATCCAAGCTGGTGTAATGCCCATTTTCCGTACAGGTGACTGATTGTTCGTTGCTGTTTTGGGGGTTTTACGTGCCAAGAACACCTTATGATTATGAGGCACGCCGTTCTTCATTTCTTTCATGCACCTCAATCCACTGCTGTAAATAGTTTAATAAAACTTGTCTTCGCTTGTTTTCATTATGTCTGAAGTTGTACTTTAACTTCAAGAATGAGGAACGATTTAGCCTACTTCACTGGCTGCAGAAATCAAGCTAGGAGTGTGCGTACCAATGATACCTCGCTACAGCCGAAGATAAAGGCTTACTCGGATCTCACTTATTTACAACACGTTCTCGAAACGCTCGTAATTAACCGCAATGCTGACGTTTGCGTTCGGTAGGAATCCTAGACTTTCATTGCATTGCGAACACGCGCTTGCGCTATGTTGTGACTGATCGCGCCTTAAGCGATTTAGTTCCTGAAAAGCAGACAACACTTGAAACATTCTGTTCGCAATACATTGCACTGCACCTCTTGTGGCATTTGAATCAAGTTCAATGAACTGGCCGGGCCGCCAGAACATGTTCATTTTTCACGCGCTCGAACCCGCGCCGCGCATTCCTCGCGGCCGCCCCCAGCCGCCGGAGCGGCCCGCTATGGCCCGCAGTGCGCGAGCGCCATCTGTCGCGGCAATCGGAAATGCGGGCGTTAACTCGCCACGCCGGCCGCCTCCATTGACTCACCTCTCTATATCTAAGACCATGCTTTTGAAAAACCTGATAAACATGTTTGAGTGCATGGGGTTAACTTTCATAGGATATGCTGTTTTCAAATGTCTGGTAGGGTGTAATGTAGAGTTGTGTAAATAGTAAAATTTTGAATGCAAATCGAATTGAAATATTGAAGCATAGGGTACAAATCAAATTGAATATTTCTAGAACTTTTTTTTTTAATAGTTCAAAGCCAAATTGTAGGGAAAAAAAGTCCAAGAGAACTCTATTCAGACTTCCTGCCCTAGTTTTATGTCCAAAACAGCCTAAATTGAGCCTCCACCTTAGCCACACTTATCTCCAATTTAGAACAAACAGTTTCTAGAGTCAATATATTTGCTACTGTAGCGAAACTTGAAAGGTAGCTTTGTTGCAATACGGGAATGTTATGAGGTGAAGCATATTACAAGTTGAAAAGGTTTACTTTTAGGCTGGCATTGACTGAATTTGTCTTAGGTAAGTTGAAATAGTTAAAATTCTAGTGTGAATCGAATCGAATGGCAAATACTATTAGAAAGGTATTCTAAATTTCAAATATTTGCACACCCCTAGTGTAATGTGAACAGAACTAAAAGGAAAAATTTCACTTTCTTAGCTTTCCCTGGGCTCACAATTTCTCCAAGCATGGACAGTGCTGGTAGCAATTTTTAGATATATCTTTTTATTTTTGTTTAACTGATAGCTTCACTCTTTAGCAGCTTTATTCTGTACTGGATGCTTTTTCAAAGGTGCACTTTTTGAGATGGGCTTTTAACAAAACTGCAAAGAGTGACAAAAAAGTGCGTATGAGCGAAAAGTGCAAAAAAAAAAAACAAATAGCAGTGTGTGTATACCACTTTCTTGGCATAAAAATAGAATGGTGGCATAGCTGGTGACACTAATATTATTAGTGACACTCTCAAAAAAGTGAAGACTGCTTTGCCATTCTAACAGTGTGCATACATACTGCATTCTTGATGGAGTGATAAATAACTCGGGGGACACCGATTCATTGTGGAATTTCAAGAAATAAAGCTGTAGATGCTCTATTGGCGGGCTCAAATTTGTGGGCCCTGAATCAATGTCCAAATTTTGAGAGCAACTTGATTTATTAATGAGGCTCACTGCTTGATAGTATTTAGGATATATTTGCTCATAAAATTTACTATACTGATTAAAGTCAATCCACTTCAGCACCATTAATACATAGTCTACGACTTGGTATGGTTTATACAAAGTGCTTTATATATATCATAAGAAAAGCAAATAGCTTAATTTGTTCTCATGAAGCATCTGACAAAGATACTGAATGCCTTCTTCTACACTATAGCCAAGGCAAAATCTTAGAATGTACTAAGATTTAGGTGCTCATTAAATCATCACTATATCATGGTTATAGAGCTTAAAACCCCAACAATTGTTCCTATTACACTATAGCAAATATCAAGCCTGTCACCAAAAGCTCTCAAAAGCAAATTCTTGAAGGTTACTATTAGAGAAACTTGAGTGGAGGGTGACACAGGCAGAACATGTGTCAATAGCCTTTCTTGAAGAAACCAGGATTGTGGAAAATTATTGGAGATTTTGTACGAGGGGAATTTATAAGGTAATGAGACTTTTGAGATAAAGTACATCTATTTTATTGATAAAAAACTTAGTCCTATGTTATTTTTCTACGTAACCACTCTGCACTTCAGCACACTTTTGCCAGGTTTTTTTTATTGAGTTGGGAAAAAAAGATTTTTGGTTGCACCTGTAACCAATTAGCACCGCATCATGGACTTATGCATCGATCACAAATCTTTTTCCCTGAGCACTTTCAATTTTACAAGCATATGAAAATTGCTTGGAGCAAGGTGCTGACTGTATGCTGAGTGTTCTAGCAGTTCAGATCCCAACTCCTACGTTGTCTCAGTCGTCTGTTTGGTAGAATGTGAGCAAGCATTATCTTTCTGCAGGATGACACCTTTTCACAGTTTTCCTTGTCATCTGTATTTGATCACAGGTTTCAGTTGGCAACACATCCCAATAGTTCTCACTGTTCAGAGTTTTGCCTCTTGGGGTGAAATGAATGGCTACCACACCTTCCATGTCCCAGAATAGTGTTAGCATAATTTTAGCAACTGATGTTTTACATGAAAATTTTTCAAGTTCTCATGATGATGAATGTTTCTAGATCAAGCTTGCAACCTTACATTCCGGTTTGTAATGATGTACCCAAGTTTCATCTACAGTAACAATTTGATGAAAAAAATGCATCTCCCTCAGTGTGATAATGGGTGAAATGTTCGCAAGAGATGCTTAATCTTTGTGCCCTATGCTACGCTGACAATTCTTTGGAGGCCCACTTTATACACTCTTTCAGAAAATTTATCCTTTCGTGTAAGATGAAATATACTAAACTGTGACTGCTATGTTAAGTATTTGTGATTTTGTATATTTTGATTAGTCTGATTTTCAGGAACTTACAAATGGCCCTTAGTCATTGACATCAATGGCCTGCCTTATCTGTCATTGCCATATGAAGTTCTTACCTGGTATTTAAAACTCTGTCCATTTACAGACCTTGCTTCCCAATAAACAACTGTTGCTATGGTGCACTTGCATTTGATGAATAATTTCTGCAGGTTTAATACCTTTTACAGACAAAAAGCAAATCACTGTCCTGATTTTCTCCTTGATGTAGGTCAACAATGGAGCTTCCATGTTTAACATTTTGCTACACTCTTAACGTCTAACGTTAGAATAAGTGCAGCTCATTCTATGGAAGTGTTGCTCATGGCACTAAGAAGTGTTACAGACAGCATAAGTTTAGCACTGAATATTACCAGTGTTGCCGAATCATAGTATGAGAAATTTCAAAAATTTCTTTACTTGTTTTAGTTATCATATTATCTTGTAAGATAATACAGTAGACCCTCAGCAAATAGAACCTTAAGGGACCGGGAAAATATGTTCCATTTAAGAGGAGTTTCGTTTAGTGAGAGGTGAACATGGGTGAAAAATGCTAGCCCGAAACCAAGCATTTCAGAGCCAATAGTTCCGTTTAAGCAGTGGTTCTATTTAACAGATTTTCATTTACTGAGAGTCTACTGTATATGCTTGTGGGTTTGATTTACACCCATACAGGTGTGTAAGCATCAACAACATATAGGCTACCACTTTTGCGAATATGTGATAACAGCTTGCTACCACAGCATTCAGGTTAAATGGAGGCTGAGGTTCCTTGAAAAGCTGTGGGACTGTACGGCTTTACTTTGAATGTTTATAATCCTACAGCCTAATACTGTGTAAAACTAAAAACACCACTGTATGGTCCTCAGTATGGTTGTTAGCATGTACTGTATGTATTAGATTATGTATTTGTTTTATAAATCATAACATTTATGATGTTGTTTAGTAATAGATGCTTGAAATAGATGCATGCATGAGCTTACTTAACATCAGAGCAGCTTCAAGTTACCTTACATGATAAAGTATTTTTTATGTAATGATTGACAATGTTCAACAAATTTTGGTTGTGGCTAAACACTGCTTGCTGAGCATGTCTCATTCTTTCCATTTAAGGCTTGCTGTGGATGCCTAGACACAGAAAAGGCTATATTTGGCATTCCTATATGTAACATGTTTTTTTTTTATGCAGAAACACCAACAGCAAACTGCGAGAATGCTGCCAGACGAACTAAGACCAAGATTCTCAGAGCTGCCAGCTGTGGAGGCTAAAAATAAAACTTCCAGAGGGAAGAAGGAAGGTGGAGGGGGCTTGGTTGCCGAAACTGTCTCGTGTGCAAACGCGGCTTCCACTGCTGCATGCTCACTTGAAGTGATGGCAGGCAAGGCCTCGCCTGTGTCTTTACCCCAGATCTCAACACATGCCAATGCTCATACAAGTTCAGGTGAGTTTCTCCATTCAACTTTCACTCTCGTTTTTTGTCTACATCTTTGTGCTGGGTGTGGTCTATAGATATCTTGTGGGTCTCCTTCTCTGAAACTGAGGTGGTATTTTGTGTGGGTGCCTTCCTCTGCTAAGAGAGTACGCCTGGTATGATTTATTGACACAGGATTTAGTGTCTTGTACCAAAACCCTGAGCATATTTTCCTGCATGAAAGCACAAAAACCTGTAAAGACATGATGTCAAAAGAATGTGAGCTTGGGTGTGTTGGTATTCCATCTTAACACCTGATGCACAGAAAGGACAAAAACACAGAGGTACGGCTACATACCTCTGCATAGTAGCTCTATGTTCATGTCGTACCTCTGTGTTCCTGTCCTTTGTGTGCGCTATAGGTGTTGAGTTGTCAAAAGAGCTTTTTCTCAAGCTTTCTTAGCAGCCCAGTTTACATATAATTGAATTTGTCGTACATTACATGTCTTTAGGGAAAGTGAAGGTGGTGCTGATATGGGATGGTTAACGAGGCCGAGGGCCAGGTATGGCCACTGCAGTAGTTATGAGATTTCATTGTTAATGTCAAATAAATATGGCTGATGTGACATGTATGTAGGCCTAAAGTTTAATAGCTGGGAAGAGCTTAAACTGTGTGAAGTATTATTATTATGACATGGCTGTATAGCTGAGTAGACTACGATTAGGAAAAATTTGCAATGAGGTGATATAGTACAGATGTTATCTCCACAACCGTAGTCTTTCACGGAAAGTCATACTACAAGTGTTTTGGAATAATAATATAAAATGTTTGAAGATTACTTATAAAACCTAAATTTTACTTGAACTCAAGTAGCATGTTGGGACAAAGAAATAATGCTGTGAGAAGTGAGAGGTAGTATTTGTATGCCAAGTGAGTATTTTTCTTTCAGTTTTTATTAGAAGGTGAACAGAGCTTTGACACGTTGTTTCTGCTATATTATAAGGGACAATTAAAATAAAAAGTAACCTTAGCAGACTGATAACATTTTTGTGCTAAATATTATACATTCTCAGATTTCTCACATGTGTTCAGTTTTATGGATAATGAGAAAAAAAAATTATATAGCACGTGATTGACAGTGAAAAAAAAAAATCCACTTTGTTACTGCAGTCTGGAAATTGGCACTTTTTACAGTATGAAAATTGGGTTGAATTTGAAAAGCAATGTAATGGTGACTTGAGTGACACATCTTATTTTGTAGGAAGGATGCGACCACCAGTTCATCCAAATTCCCCAACTGCTCTTATGCAAGCAAAATTACCAGCTCTATTTCGGCAGCTTGAAGAGGCAATCAGCAAAGGAGAGCATGATAGAGCTGCGATTTTGGCGAGAGAGCTGGCCATGTACAAGGTGTCCTGTTCTCTACGACGAGTCCGGAAAGTAGCACCAGACCCTAAGCAGTTTATGTGAGTGCAAGGACGGATGCATGTTTTCTTTTCACAATGTCTGCTTTTTCAAAGTTTCTTTAGAAGGTGTACAATCTTATATTCAAGAAACAGCATAATAACACGAAATTTTAAATTTTCTATTAGCTATGCATGAAATACAGGTCCCTGGTCCTTTGGTCTCGCATGAAGAAGCATAGTAAAAAAAAATGTATAACAACATTCGTGCAATGTTGTATTGTGTATGAGCTAGTAAATGATCTGAAAAGTTTTATCTTGTGCCATATTCCTTTGCACTCACAGAGTAAAAATGTATGTGGAAGATAGGAAGTCTCATGTTGGACCATTTTCATTGCCAGTCCATCCAGAAATGACCGTCAGCAATCTTAAAAAAAAGGTTAGTGTACTTTTTATACTATATTTATATTTTTCACAATATACAAATGTATGTGTAGATTGCTTTTTTTTTTACCAATAAAGAGTTTTCATAAAAATGCCATGACAGTCAGGCACCTGTCATTTTCAAAAATGAACTATATATTCATAAAATCCTAGAGAATAAAGAAAAAACTATATTTGTTCACATATTGGCTCAGGTAATGGGTAAAATGAAAGCATTAAAGTTCTTCCTACGAAAAGTCCATTAATGCTTTGAAATTTCTAAAAAGTGGGCACTGTTGGTTTTACTAAAGGGATGAAATATGACCAACCTCACCAGCGAAGCTGAAACCAAGATGTAGAACAGTGCAACTGCTGGATTCTTCTGAATGTCCAAAATGGGTGCACATTATTAGAGGCACTACATAGTCAATATAACGTCTATGTGCGTGCGAACTCATCACGGAGGCCCTATGCTTTGAATGCGCATTACTCTATAGTCCGACGAGAAGTCTGATTGACACGTCCAATCTCCATCAACGTGTCCTGGTTGCAGAAAGCGTGAGATGCGATGTACTGCATTTAGCGCTAGCGGCGTCACCCAGAGTTTACGCAGAATTCGTGACGTTACCCAGAGACGAGGAGATGCCGGACACGCTCTAATGGGCATGTGTCAAGGCGATTTGCATAGCATATGCACAGGAGTATAGAGTATGTGGTTTTCATCTAACATAATGTGATGAGCCAGACATTGCAAACTTTTGCCTCTGCTGGCTGTCAGACTATAAAGCGCCCCTTATAATGACCATTTATTGACATCATTTCATGGAATGTCAGGGCTTTGTTTACGATTATAGTGCACAAGGTTCACATATGTTAATTGATGCGAAATCAACACCACTGTAATTGTTGCCGTAAAAGTGGCATCGTTCTACTTTTTTGCTAGTTGTGTTCATCTGAGTTTCGGTTTTGGTTTTGTCGGTGCATCTGGTCGAATTTCATTGCTTCATGATAATTCTCTTTTCCAAAATCTCAAAGCAACAATTGGCTCCTTGCTGGAAGAGCTTCGATTCTCCCATTTAAGCTAACCACTTATCACCACTAATTACAATGTTAATTATTTTATTTTTATTATTGTCATAATTGATGTCTGTATTCGTCTTAGGATGTCTGTAGCAAGCTAATATTTCATTTCCCTTAGTTTTGAGGATTTTTGGACACATCTTCAAACACCCTGTGTTCTAGCACAAATTTTAGAAGCAGCATTGAGAAGTAGACAACACTGGTGTATCAAAATAATGTTTTCAAAGATGTTGAATTTTCATAGGGACCTGAATATTATTGACTAAGAGTAGTAAAAATAAACTTAAGTCAATTTCTGCCCATTCATAGCATTTGTGACCTTGTTGTGGCGTCATAAATTCTTCCTGGAAGAGCTCTACATAAGACATATTGGCTGTCTAGAAAGTTATTCTAAGGTTTAGCAAGATTATTTCATGTTTTTTTTTATGTTGTAGTACTGGGAGCAAAATATGGTGTCATTTTTGGAAGTAATATGGATGGTATCTGCTATTGCTTGACTGTAACATTCCAGCTTTCAGAAGTTCGATGTAGATATGTACTTTTTTTTGTTTTGCCATTGCTATAACTTGTGACATTTTATGATATCAGTGCTCGAATTAAGGGTTTTTTTTACATTTTATGATGTCGATGCTCGACTTAACATACATTTTTATCGGACATATTGATTCATGGATTTACCATGTACCATAATACAGTGACTTATTCTGGATATTTGTGTTATGTATCTGCTATTTTCTACCAGGTTGAGGCTGAGTACAATATTCCTGCAAGAGTCCAGCGATGGATCCTGGGCAAGAACCTGGCCACTGATGATGGGGCTACACTGGAACACTTTGGTGTGAGCCACAGTGCATGCCCTGTCTTCTTGTACCTGGTGAGCCCAGCAGAGGAGCTAAGGGCTGAAGAAGTCATTCGAAATAGGTGCTGGAAGCCCTCAGATAGTGTTGTTAGCACTGAAGAAGGTGAAGATTTGGCAAATGCAATTGCCAGACAAGAACCTTCTGATGCATCTAGTACTTTGGATGTCCTCCTTAATGACTATGCAGCAGGTGAGACAACCCTTTCTGTTGCGGAAAGCATGTTACTCCTGCACTCAGCATGATGGATTCATCGGGTTGCCAGTTTGAGCCTGGATGTAGATTTAAGCAATCAGGATGGCAAGTAAATTTTCTTAGAAAGGCCTTTGAATTAGTTCTGCTTGAGTTTTTATGTACCTTTTAGATGGATTTATGAGTTTGTTAAAAGAAGAGATAATATTGCAATTGTACGTAGACATAATCACTTATTGTGAAGAGCTCATAATTTCAAACACCGGTGGAGAATAACAGATTCTGTCAATAAAAAAAGACATGGTGCATTAATTCATTTTTTTTGTTCACTAGAAACAGTATTCAAATGTCTGGCGCTTTGTGTTCTATAATTATACTGCCAAGACATGTCAGTTCACATGTTCTGACATGTTTTTGCTACAGCCAGAACATTTGCCAGTTCAATGCAATGACTACAATAGTTAAGGCTGTACTAGTTCCAGTGAATGTTGCCCCACTTGCATGTGTTCAGCCAGAGAGCCCTAATACTCCTAGCAGCTTTTTGATTGCTATTTTTGTGATGACGTTTATTGAACTGGAGAAGTCGCAACGATGTCGCAACGAAAAATGGCCGTACGACAAGTCTGGCAAAAGGCGGCCCAGGTTCTCGTGCAATCAGAGCACGGGGTTTTTCCTTCTCTTTGGAAGGCGCATACACGTTAGTGCGTATGCTCCACTACAATACCCCCCGGGTTGAAGAGTAGCCATCCTGGCGATTCAGGGAGTAGGCACAATGAGGGGGTCGTAGTAGGGCTTGAGACGGTCGACGTGTACGGTCTCGCGTCCTCGACGGCGCAAATCTGGCGATTGTGTTAGGGGCTCGACGATGTAATTCACTGGTGAGGTTGCGTCAATGACACGGTATGGACCATGGTACCGGGCCAGAAGTTTAGAAGACAGGCCAGGAACGTGCGGGGGCACCCAAAGCCACACGAGGGAGCCAGTACGAAATGTAGGCGCTATGTGATGAGCGTCATCATGCCGGGTTTTTTGTAGACCTTGAGCCTCACTTGTCATAGACCGAGCCAACTGACGGCAGTCTTCAGCGTATCTGGTGACTTCCGAAAGCGGGGAGCACTCCGATACATCAGGGCGGTACGGCAGTATGGTGTCGAGTGGGTGGGATGGTTCGCGGCCGTACAACAGAAAGAACGGGGAAAAACCGGTAGTCGCTTGCGTCGCGGTGTTGTAAGCGAAGGTAACAAAAGGCAAGACAGCGTCCCAGTTAGTGTGGTCGGAGGAGGTGTACATCCTCAGCATGTCGCCAAGTGTGCGGTTGAACCGTTCAGTGAGACCATTCGTCTGTGGATGGTATGCGGTAGATTTCCGGTGGATGATGTGGCATTCAGCGAGAATAGCTTGGATGACCTCCGACAGGAACACTCGACCCCTATCACTGAGTAATTCCCGTGGAGCCCCATGGCGGAGAATGAAGCTGCGGAGAATGAAGAGTGCAACTTCGTGGGCGGTCGCTGCTGGTAGAGCTGCAGTCTCAGCGTAGCGTGTCAGATGATCGACGCCGACAATAATCCACCGGTTTCCAGAGCGACTATATGGGAGGGGGCCATAGAGATCGATACCCACGCGGTCGAATGGGCGAGCCGGGCATGGGAGCGGCTGTAACATGCCAGTAAGGTGCCGCGGAGGTGTCTTGTTCTGTTGGCAAGTGGTGCAAGACTGAACGTATTTCTGCACAAAGCGATACATTCCTCGCCAGTAATATCGTTGGCGCAGCCTTTCGTAGGTTTTCAGGACACCTGCGTGAGCACTTTGAGGGTCTGCATGGAAATTCATGCAGATGTCAGAGCGAATATGAGTTGGGACAGCAAGGAGCCACTTCCGACCACCAGGCATGTAGTTGCGGCGCTACAGAATGCTGTCTCGCACGGAAAAGTGGGCTGCTTGTCGGCGTAGCGCTCTCGTGGAAGGGACAGCAGACGGATCGGTAAGGTAGTCGAGTAACAATGCAAGGTATGGATCTTTACGCTGCTCCGAAAGCATGTCAGTGGTGTCTATTGGTGACAAGGTGGTAAAAAGTGGTGACAGAGAAGCCACATCTGGGGTCAAAGGCGATCGCGAAAGTGCATCGGCATCTGCATGCTTGCGACCGGAACGATATACTACACGGATGTCGTATTCTTGCAATCGAAGTGCCCAACGTCCCAGGCGTCCGGACGGGTCTTTCAATGTGGACAGCCAACATAGAGCGTGGTGGTCTGTGACCACGTCGAAAGGGCGGCCGTAAAGGTACGGGCGAAACTTCGTCAAGGCCCAGATTATGGCCAAACACTCCTTCTCTGTCACGGAGTAATTCAATTCAGCCTTCTTGAGAGCGCGACTTGCATAGGCGACTACGTATTCGGCTTGGGTGCCTTTTCGTTGTGCCAAAACTGCACCAAGACCGATGCCACTTGCATCGGTGTGAATTTCTGTGGCAGCAGCGGGGTCGTAGTGACGAAGAATGGGTGGTGAGGTCAGCAGGCGGCGCAGCTGGCGAAATGCGTCGTCACATGCAGGTGACCATGCAGATATACCTTTGCTGTTGGAGAGCAGACTTGTTAGAGGTGCGATGATGGACGCGAAGTTGGGCACAAAGCGACGAAAGTACGAGCAGAGACCGACGAAACTTCTTAGAGCTTTCAGTGATGTGGGCAACGGGAAGTCAGCGACAGCCCGAAGCTTATCGGGATCCGGAAGAACACCGTCTCTTGTGATGACATGTCCCAAGATGGTTAGTTTTTGTGCTGCGAAGTGGCACTTTTTGGAGTTAAGTTGAAGGCCCGCAGAAGTTAGACACGTCAGAATCTCGTGGAGGCGAACAAGATGTGTCGGGAAATCAGACGAAAAAACTACGATGTCGTCCAGGTAACACAAGCAAGTTTTCCACTTATGGGCACGCAAGATGGTATCGATCATGCGCTCAAATGTGGCAGGTGCGTTGCAGAGCCCAAATGGCATCACTTTGAACTCATATAGACCATCTGGCGTTACAAAGGCTGTTTTAGGGCGATCACATTCAGCCATTGGCACCTGCCAATACCCAGAACGCAGATCCAAGGATGTAAAGTACTCGGCGCCTTGTAAACAGTCAAGAGCATCGTCTATTCGTGGTAGCGGGTAGACATCTTTCTTCGTAATCTTGTTTAAGCGGCGATAGTCCACGCAAAATCGAACGGTGCCATCTTTTTTCTTGACCAGAACGACAGGTGATGACCAAGCGCTTTGAGAAGGCTGTATCACTCCACGTTTAAGCATGTCGTCTACTTGCTCCGTAATGATGCGGCGCTCTTCGGCGGAAACGCGGTAAGGACGCTGTTGCAGAGGCAAATGTGAGCCGGTGTCAATAGTATGAGTGATAGTCGTGGTGCGGCCCAAAGCAGGTTCTTGAAAGTCGAAAGAAGAGCGAAACTTGTTAAGGAGAGCAACAAGTTGACGGCGATGCGAGAGGGGAAGGTCTGCGTCAATAGCATTGTCGAGGGCTGACAAACTTGATGGCTCAGACGCATGAGTTATTGCGGCAATGTGACATGGCGTTTCGTCGGGAAGAATAATATCATCGATATGGTCGACAGGTTGCACATATCCCAACGTTTCACCACGAAGTAAGCTGATGGGGCAGTTGCAGTGGTTGGTAACCAGCATTACGGTTAAACCAGATGCAATTGTAAGAACGGCAAATGGGAGAACGATGCCCTTGCGTTCAGTAAAAACAGGAGATGGCGTAAACACCACCGTGGCGTCAGGTTGCGCCACACATGAAAGGCTTACAGGCACCGAAGCTTCCGGGGGCAAGGTGATGTCGTCGTCAGCGATGAGTTTGCAGAGCCGAGGATACCAATCGGGTGGTGGAAATTCATATGTTGGCACAAGGGACACTTCGGCACGGGAACAATCGATGATAGCTTCATGACCTGATAAGAAATCCCAACCGAGGATAAGGTCATGAGAGCAAGATGGCAGAACAAAAAACTGTACGACGTACAAAACATCTTGGATGACGACGCGCCGTACACAGAGCCGAGGGATGAATGCGTTGCGCGCTAGCCGTGGACAGCACCATGCCACAGAGAGATGTGGTCACTTTCTTCAGTTTCCGACAAAATTTGGCGTCCATCACAGAAACGGCGGCCCCGGTATCAATTAACGCTAATGTGGCGACTCCCTCAACATCGACATCAACAACATTTTGCGGCGAAAACGGAGGCCTTGGGAATTGCGAACAAGTTGCAGTTCTTGCCTCCGGAACTGCACTGATTAGTTTCCCTCCTCAGGAGGTGGTCGACGACGCATAGGCGATGGCGACCGGCGACGAGGGGATGGGAAACGAGCAGTCGATGGGCGGCGATCCGAGTCTGAGTGCCTCTGTTCATATGCAGATGCGGTGGCCTGCTGCGGCGCGTAGGTAGGAGTTCCGAAGTATGCGTTTGCAGGTGTGGGGCGACGTTGGCAGAAGCGTGCAATGTGGCCAGCGATGCCACAGGCGAAGCAGATAGGACGATTGTCTTGAGTGCGCCACTCATTAGATCGATGGAAAAAGCGAGGTGAGGGCCTGTAAACTGGAGGCGAGGCCGGAGGAGGTGGAGCTGATAAGGCGACTGGATGCGGTGGGGGCCGCGCGACCACAGCTGCGTAGCTGAGAGGTGAAGGTGGTGCAGGTGGTGCGTAGCCGACAGCTGAGAGATTAGGCGCTACTGAAGTGCACGGGTAAGGGGCCTGCACTGTAGGGAGGACATCACAAATTTCCGTGCGTATGGCCTGCTGCAGTGTCGTAGGCAGGCTTGCGGTGGGCGCGTCGCTATGGGGCAGCAGGGAGAGCTGTCGGGCGACTTCCTCCCTGATGAAGTCTTTGATCTGGTTGGACAGACTTTCTTTGCAAACGTTGGCATTTGTGAGTGTGACGGCCGAGATCGAATCCGGCGGTAGGACACTCTGTCGGGCGATGGAACGCTGACGGCGCAATTCATCAAAGCTCTGGCAGAGGCTTACGAGGATTGCCACCGTGTTCGGGCTTTTCGCTAGCAACATCTGGAATGCGCCATCCTCGATGCCCTTGAGAATCTGCCGAATTTTTTCTTCTTCGGGCATAGATGGATTCACACGCTTGCAGAGGTCGAGCACGTCCTCTATGTAACTAGTAAACGTCTCGCCAGGCTGCTGGGCTCGGTGGCGCAGGTGCTGGTCAGCGCGGAGCTTGCGGACCTCTGGTCGGCCGAACGCTTCAGTGACGAGTGTCTTAAAGGAAGACCAGTTGGCGATGGCGGTTTCGCGGTTCGTAAACCAAAGTTTAGCTACGTCTGCCAAGTAAAATATAACGTAGGCGAGCTTAGAGTCGTTGTCCCACTTGTTACTGGCGCTTACGCGTTCGTACAAGGAGAGCCAGTCCTCGACGTCTTGCTCGCCACTGCCGCTGAAGATTGGTGGGTCCCGTTGGCGAGTAGACGGGACAGCCGGTGGTGCTGGCTGGGCTGGGATGGGCTGGTTGGCGACTGCGTCAGTCATGTTTTGCAGTGGTCTCTCGGGCAACTTGCGAGAGCGGAGCTCCAGGTCTGCTTGGGGATCTCAGCACCTCCACCAAATGTGATGACGTTTATTGAACCGGAGAAGTCGCAACGATGTCGCAACGAAAAATGGCCGTACGACAAGTCTGGCAAAAGGCGGCCCAGGTTCTCGTGCAATCAGAGCACGGGGTTTTTCCTTCTCTTTGGAAGGCGCATACACGTTAGTGCGTATGCTCCACTACATTTTGTACATGCTATAAACATTAGTACCCTGATTTTATGTCTCAAGTGCTGAAGCTGCAGCTGAGGCTGGTCACATTGTGACTCGTAATAGTACAGAAACCCAGCACGCTTACTGATTGTAATCACAGAAGAAAGAAATATGAGATACCAGATATAACCACACAATGCATTCATGCTAGCAGAATTAACACACAAGCTGGCAAAATGATCCCTTTGTTTGCGTGGTAGCTTCTCTGATAACAGGGTACAGGAACACATAGTACTCATAGCACTCTATTTCATTCATTCAGTCATGTTTTATAATTGTACATTTATCTACTTCTTTACTCTCTGTGTATATCTTTAATATGTTTACTTGCCTTTTAAATTGTAATACTTTATAGTCATAACTATTTTAACTCTGTACTTCTGTCAAATTTTATGTTCTCTAATTATCTGATGCTCACATGTCTCAAGTGTCTCCTTTCCCACTACTGTATAATGTCTTTGGGCACCTAATAAAAGACGATAAAGAAAATGAAGCACAACCCTTTTCAACACTTGGCTTTAAATCTAAAAACCTAATGGACCTGTCAATCAGTCATTTATATGCTAGTGTTAATTTTATACTCTAAAAAGAGTAATTAGCATTTGTATAAATGTGCCCTCCATGATTGTTTCATGCATCATGTTAGCACTGTGCTTTTTACATGTACTAAGGCATTTTTGTTTTAATTGTGCTAGATTATGTGTTTTCTGCATTAAGTTGTTGAAGTGTAAAAACTCTGGCATATAAGAACTTCAAAATGAGCTGTTACTATTGCAAGGGCTGTTCGAAAACCTTCTGTTAGCTGCCTTGCTTGATGATTGATGTTGATTTGTTTTCCTTAACGTAATATTTTGTTTTTCTATAGGTTGGACCTGTCAGCTATGTGGTATAAATAATACGGAACCAGGTACATGTGCAATGTGTGGTGTTGCGATGGTTATGGATGCGAGTCGCCAAAGCGTGGGTGCTGACCAGAATGTTAAAACTACTCTTGCTTACAATGCTGAACCCGGTGAAGTACATGACCAACTTGAAGCCAGCAATAGTCCTGCTCAAGCTCACCTGCCTCTCAATGAGGTAATTTTGATTCACATTTAAGTTACACGTTCAACACACCCTAGTCTGTTCGACTGATCACTCGGATGGGCATTTTGACTGTGTTATTGCAATAACAATTATGTTATATGGATGCTCTCGGTGGGTTTTTGCTGTCATCGTTGCCCTCATCTTCACTATGAAATCCTACTCGATAGCATTGCTCTGCACATTGTAGTATGTTCTTCATACAAGTGAAATTGTGTGAGCTCTTTGGAAGAATGTGGCTGAAGCAGAGATGGAAGGAGTCAGCCTTTTTCTACACATGAAGAACGCATGCGATAACATTGCTCTGCTTGCTAAACCTGCCATCAGTGACTTCTCAAAGAAAAAGCAAATGCCTCCCTCAACTTTCATTACGAGAAGGAGCATGAAGGGGTGTCAGAGGAAGGAAGGAGCACTGCATCACGCAGTCAGCTACCATAAACTTGAGGAGGAAGGTGCCAGTGCAGGTGTGTGCACTATCTCAATAAGCATCAGTTGATGACATGTATACCTGTATGTGCCCTGTACTCTCCCTGATTGCTTCACATTGAGATGACAGACAGCACAGTAACCAGCTCGTTCCCTGGAGCAGCTGTATTTATGGCGACATTTTTTAGAGTTACAGCTTACAGCTGTTAGCCTTACTTCGTATAATATTTGAATTTGTAGCTATCACATTCATTGCTTTGTCCTTGTGGGAAAAACAGATATTTTTATGAAATAAATTTTTTTATGACCTACCAAATTTCATGTTCACATCAGAAGCAGCCTTATTTTCTCGTGCACACCTTTATTGAAATTCGAAAAAATACTGGCTGAGACAAAACAGAAAATGCATTTCATGCTGGTGCGCTGTTTCCCTATTTTGATAGGAATTAAAAAAATACGACAAAATCTTATACACTTTTGCATTTCTTGCACCCATTGTGTTCAGCTTCGTTAGGGGGCCGTACAATATTTTTTGTCTGCATTCTGCAGCCCCAGAGTGTCTGTAATGTTCAATATTGAGATGAACGTAAAAAGATTAGTCAAAATTGGCGCATGGTAACAGAAGTTTTTCATTTTCAAACTTTACAGCTACAGCAGATAAATGTTCCCTTTCACATTTCACTGTGCCACCATGAGTGTCGGCAGGGGGGTGCAAAAGGGGCAATGGCCCCCCTTAATCCTCACCAGCACTTGCCTTCATCCAAGCTACACCAGTGCTTTCCCTCCCCCCCAGCCACGATGCAACATTTGTTCACACCTCCTAAGACAAACATTCATTTCTGTAACTGAAATCAGTGGCACTTTCAAATCACGGTGTGATTTTTATAAAAACATACCCACAAGTGTTGCCTCATGATGGACATTTTGCAGCACACCTAGTATTGTCTTGCAATTGTTTTCAAAATTTCATATTTTCTTTTGTTACTGTAAAAGTATAAAGAGTACTTTTATAATATTTTGTGCAAAATAATGTGACCTAGCCGGGACCATATGAATAGTAAATTCGACTTGTCATGTCAAACCAATCAAAATGCCCAGCCAACGTCGTCATTTATGCTTGATAAAACGTTCCTTCTGATTGCAAAAATAGTCATGTGTTGTTCTAGTCAGAAACTGAAGTGATTTATGCATTGAAATAACATTATTAAAAGAACTTTGTTTTTGGTTTTACCACTTGTGCAACGATATCAGTGCATTCCACAGTTTCAAAAGAAGGAATGAAAATGACATGCATAATTTATGGTTCAGGGCTCCTTTAATAATAATAAAAAACTATGCACAATTGTCTGCATGAGCAAGCACACAACATGAGCGAATAAGGGTAAACTTGTTTTTTTTTAACAACAGGCTAAAATATAAGCTTTTGTGTAGAATGTCTTATTTATGTTATTATTGTGATTTTGGGGAATTTTTTTTTGCGTGCTTTGTTGCATGCTAAACGCACAGAAAGTACATTTTGTCTGTCTTATGTGGCAGCATTGTCGTAGGTGCTGTAAATTACAAAAATTGTGAATATATAATAAATATTGAATATAGTATAAAAAAAAAATCAGTTGCACCCCCCCCCTAAAAAAAAAAAAACACTTGATTGGTACAAATGCATGACACATTTTGTCTCCATGTGCATAGTATAGAAATTAAATATGAGCACCTCGCTAGTGCAGCTGGCTGCATTGCTTGTAGAGCCGCACTTTACTGGCTGTACAATGATAATCATACTTATGGAGGGTTCTGTGCATGGGACTAATTCTCCATTTGTGCTTTCAGTGCTACAACAGTGAATGCTAGACTGTGAACCTCATTTTTTAAAATGGCTTTGCAAATTAAACTATTCAATTCAAGGTGATGGCACTCTTGATATTGTGTTCAATTGAGCTTGAAAACCTTTAATTGCACATCCCAAAGATGTTTGTAATTTTGGGGGCAGTATTTGAAGCACTTGAAAACATCGTAAAGTTTACTTTTTGCATGCTAAATAATAATTACAATCTTGTCAAATTCCAGCACATTATTTTGCAGATTATCTACTTGTTGTCAGTTATGTGCAAAAATATGTTGAATCGGTTATGAGCATGAAAGAGATATAAAGATCCATATACTATATGAAGGCTGTGGTGTCTGGTGCCTGAAAGAATCTAGTTTAAGAATTACTTCCATTTGTGCTGCAAACTAATAAGCAACCTTTAGTGCTACAGAGAAAAACATGTTTTTCCTTTTGTAATGGGAAACAACAACTTGTCCAGCTCTGCAGTGGCTCATTGTATATCACCTTCTCCTGCTAAACATGATACTGGGATGCTAACTTCCCATCATTGTGTCATCTTCCAGTGGAAATTAGTGCAAAGATTGCCAAGCACACATTGTTTGGTAAACGTTACGGAAACTCTTGAATTTGCATTGAGTATGATCTAATGGGAAACAACAACTTGTCCAGCTCTGCAGTGTATCTAGTGAAGATGACTCGCTGCTGTGTGTAGCTTGTAGACAGGCTCCAGCATGGGGTTTACCTTGTTTGACCACTTTTAATTCATCTCCATTTTTCTGTGTCTTGTACATTAATATGACCATCATAGGAATGTAAATATGTTTACAAAATGTGAAGAGGGTTGTATGTTACAATGTCATTCAGTGATAACTATGTAGCAGTGCACTTCTATTCATTGCAGTTTTGTTTTTGGTTAAAGGAAGATGGAAGCCCTGTCGAGGAACCAGAACAAGCTCCTTCACCTCAAACTTCATTGCCTCAAGACTACATGCGGCTTGTCGAACTTGATGAACAAGACTTGGTACCAAGCATGGAAGCATTTGAGTGCTCAGTTTGCTTTCTAGGCATAGAGCCTGGTCAAGGGGTCCTGTTGAGAGATTGCTTACACATGTTTTGCAGGTATGGTTCTTCTCAGAAGTCTTGGTAAACATTCTGAAGGAAAACTATAAACAATTAAACTGGCACCGCGAGAAACAGGTGATATGCTGCCACTACTGTATTGTAATGAAGCATGTCTTCTTTTCTGCAGACATGCATTTCAGCTGACCACAAGACAATTTTCCTTTTTTTCCTCTTTGTTTTGCGCTGGAAGCAGTAAGGTCCAGTGTTACCTCATGCTTGCAGCAAAATTGGGACCTGTTATTGCTGGAAACCATAAACCTTAGAGCCGCAAACTAGTTGCCATAGCAAACGATGTCCACCTGTGATTACTTTCGAGAATTCCAAAGTTCCTTGCATCTTACTTTTAGTGTTTCGTTAATTTTAAAGCACGCTTTATTCAAAGATTTCTCGCAGTACCAGTGACTTTGACTTAATGAAGTTCCACTGTATCTTCTACTTCTTATATCAGCCCACAATCATAAATCATGTGATAATGTACATTAATATCATATTTTTTAAGATATAATTGTCTTTTCTTTTTTCAGAGAGTGCCTGTCAAGCTCTGTTCGCTATGCTGAAGAGGCTATGGTAAAGTGCCCTTTCAGAAACAACGAATATTCATGCAGCAGTCATCTACAAGAAAGGGAGATCAGGGCGGTGAGTACGTTCATGGATTTACTATGCTTTTTTTAGTTGTAGCTTCATTGAAGGTGGCAATCATTCTCATAGTTGCACCGTCATCACTTCAATAAAATTGTTTGTCTTGATACCACTCCCAGTGTCATGCAGTAAGCTGCCTAGCATTGCTTTTATTATCTTGGACAAACCTGGTGTACTGTATTCATTAATAGGAGCATATTAGGGAACTTTGATGGCATTACCCAGTGTTTTTGTTCAAACTATTCAGAGGTCTTAGCACTAAGGAAATCAGTTCTAGCCGTGAGGAAGACAAACCCATAGAATAACCCTGATGGCATTACCCAGTGTTTTCAATTAAACAATTCCAAGGTCTTAGCACTAAGGAAAGCAGTTCTAGCCATGAGGAAGACAAACCCATAAAATTTTCTAAGTATACGCTAGAAGTAACTCTGGTGCTATTGTCTATTGGAGCTGCAATGCATGGCACTTCAGCAAGCATGGCAATCATAAGTCTAATCTTCGTACATCTGGCTCAGTTGAGGATCGCGTGGCTTGAAGCTGTTTTGTCACGAAACAAAAATCATCAAATGTTCAGCAGTTGCACTTCACCACCTTAATGTGTTAAGCTTGCCATTTAAAATTGGGCCATGAAATTCAAAATGGTTTGTTCTTTCTTTTGAAACAATACTGAAACACAGCACTAAACAAAGCCAGAAGTGCAGTTTGATGCCCGCAGGTACAAACACTAGGCAAATTCGTCTACTACATATCATTCCCGTGGTCACTGAATGATCACAGTGCCAGAGTCCCCTCTGGTTAGTTTTAGGAAACTCTATGAACAAACCCACTTGTCGAAATGCCGGCTCAAGTACACAACCTCTGTTTGCAGATTTCTTTCATCGCAAGCTTTCGTCTTGCCCTTCCTGCCATTTTTTTGACTTCCAAATTCTTATGGTACTTTGTTTAAAGTCCTGCAATCATTGACAATATGTTTGATAGATTCCAAAGTTTTACATATTAATTCCAGTTTCTTATATAATATTGTGTGAGAAGCAAATTCGACATTTGCAGACAGAGAATAGCTTAAAAGGTCTAATTTGTGGTTACCAACAGTAAATTCTCTGATATTGAAGCATTCGTCAGTAGTACAGCTTTCAGTGCTTAATGAAATTTTTATAGCCACATAACAGGTGGCAATGTGTCTCCAGTACAATTTTGGCAGGAAAAAACTTGATGTATTGATACTCTGAATAAACATGTGTCCTTATTAGTTGCTGATGTGAAAACATTACTTGGTTAGGTTGTTCAAAATGTGTGCTTGTGGGGTGTCCACAAAATCTGTGTGCAGAAAGAATGTGAACTCTTTGCACATGCTAATGTGTACCTTTCCAAGGGGAAATCTTGGATGCGGCCATAATCCCCTCTGGACACTTGTAAACGTGCACGACCTCCCAGAAATGCACTGTCCAAGCATAAAGTTCTTTCTTAATTTGTACTCAGGTGCAACAGTTCAGGAAAAAGGTGCTCCCACTCTCTGATATCTGCAGCAACTTACAGCCATGAGTTAGGAGAGGGGGATCCCTACAGGAGAAGTGGGAGCCAATACTCGAAGGAAGTATGCCGTTGTCCGCCGTATCAATTGACGTTAAACCTCCGACTGCTTTGACACCCTGGCTTCTCAAAAGTATCAAAATTTAAAGCAGTCATATCAAAGTGTACTTTTTAACTGGTGGTACTAAATTTCTCATGCAAAAGTTTACTCTCAGTTGACGCAGACTCCCAGAATACAAACATAATCACATGATCTAAAAATTGTATGCCTGTTACTCTATGGCAATCATCATTGTGACTGAGGGGTTGTGTAAACTTACTTTTAGCTTGTAACCAAGTGCCTGTTAGACAGATGGGCATTAATGTCCGTGCTGATTCTATCTAAAAAATTACAGGGCAACTACTTGTTAAGTTACTATCACCGGTAAGGTTGTGTGCATTAGCCGAACCATGTGCAGAAATCATGAGGCATGGTAATTTTAATAGCCGAAGCAATTACAGTGTATATCATTAAGCCAACGCCTCTCTAGAAAGATGCCTGCGACATCGCACCCTTTCCTATGTGGACGGGAGGTTCCTCGAAGTACAGTGCTTTCTCCGCAAAGAGCGCTCGCAGCTGACACTACTACTTCCGTTTGATTCGGAAGTGACGCCATCAGAAAGACACGACCGTGTTGCCTCAGAGACAGCAGTAGACACTGCTTTAATCCCAAGGCAAAGTTTATAGCGGCAAAGTTTATAGGCGGCAAAGGCGGCAAAGTTTATAGCGGCCGCTGCAGCGAGCGCTCGAAGCCGACACTTTTTAGGCAGCAGAAGAGGAGAGAACAGGAGAAGGCCGGGATTGAGCTTTTCAGCTCAAGTCGCCGGCATCTTTCACAGGAGGCGTTGATTAAGCCATACTCATCATCCAAGGTTCGGTGATGTCATGAGGGAAAAAAAAAAATGTTCCACTAATATTCAGGATTTTGTTGTACACATTACATTTAAGAAAGGATTTTGCTTAGGTTTCTTTCCATTAGATATTTTGTTTATATTGGCATGCTTTTGTTTGAAATTTTAATTAATAAACGTAAGTTATTTTGTGTCTATCTTGAATGATCCTTGTGTGTACTACCTTACAGCTTCATTGTTCATTTTGTGTTAGTGTTGCAGAATGCAGTGCAAAATGCTGAGAATATTGGCTTGTTGTGTGAGAAACAGAAAAAAGCTCTCAATTGATGAATGGGCAACGTACATGTTTTTTTGAGCTAGTACAGGCGAAATTCAGTGCTAATTCTTTGTTTTGCAGCTGGTGAGCCCAGAGGTGTATGAGCACCACTTGTCACGTAGTGTGAAGACTGCCGAAAGCCAGGCACCTAATAGCTTTCATTGCAAGACTCCAGACTGTCCTGGTTGGTGTATGCTAGAGGACAACGTCAACACCTTCATGTGTCCTGTGTGTGGCCACCAAAACTGCCTCACCTGCCGGGCCATCCACGAGGGCAAGAATTGTCTCCAGTACCAGGACGAGCTAGATTTTAATGCCCCCAACGGCCAGGAGGCAAAGCAGACAAAGGAATATTTAGATGTGAGTGATGCCCACCATGCTTTAGACCGAAATCATACTTCCTTGATGTTATTTGTGAAACTCTGTGTGTACATGGCCTTCACAGCTTTTGTCGTTTGTGCTTCAGATTGTGAAAAAGAACAGAAAAGGTGCTTCGGCACTTGGAACCTGTCTTCAAGACTGAAAAAATAGATCTTTGACATTGTAGAAAAAATGATGTCAGAATGGATAGCGTCATGTGGTAGCTGTTGTGATGTGTACAAATGATCGGTGATGGTTAACGAAAGTACAAACATGATTTTAAAATATATAAAATATTGAAATATGCACAGTGAGCTATGTATAAGCAACACATGAGCAAAGAAGAAAATTAAGTTAAACATTAGAAAACTTGAATGGTAGAAGTTGTATTCTGTTGGATAATAAATTCTACTCAGTGTAAATGTACATAGAAAAGCAAATCACAAAACCAAGTTAGATATGATAGCAAGTTTATCGAATGACCATAAGTTCTTCTTTATATGTAGTAGGCATAATTGCCTTAAAATGACAGTGCTAGGAGTAATGAATTCAAATTATCTATTAATAGAAACAGGAGCAAATACCCAAGTAAGCACGGATATCTGGTAGGCTTACGACAGGATGTACATTTCAGATATTCCGGACATCCATGAGATATCTGCGAATGTGCACTATACGTCAAATGTACATAGGTAACAAATTTGTACAGTCGCTTGACATACCTCTAGGACAGCCAACATGGACATTGACAGTCCCTTCAAATTATATATATATATATATATAGATATTATATATATATATATATATATATATATATATATATATATATATATATATATATAGTGGGAGTAATAATTCAATGGGTCAGTTGGTCTTCGTGAAGGTATGGGATATGGCACAACGGGAGTGCTGTCAACAAGGATAAATATATTTTTTTCCCAACAGTTTCGGGAGGGGTCCTCCCAAAACTGTTGGGAAATAAATATGTTTATCCTTGTTGACAACGCTCACGTTATGCCATATCCCATATATATATAGATATATATATATATATATATATATATATATATATATATATATATATATATATATATATATATATATATTGTAGTGAAGAAGGTGAGTGCTACTCAGATAGGCAGGGGATATCACTCAGTCTGTGAAGAAGACGACGTTTGGCTAGCTGAGTGCACAGGCTGGTTCCGCCATTACCACTTGACTTGTCGTGATCGCCCTCCTGTTTTATAAAACAGTGCGGCTCTAAAACAGCTCATTTTAATTGGTGGAGGTGCTCGGTAACACATAATCCTGGAATTGCGAAACCGTATGTTGCCTCCAGTTGCGATGTCCACGGACGAGGATCAGCGGGCGGCCGCCTCGGCGCCAGCTACTGCAGCTCCTGTCTGTCTCGGCTCCTTTCGGCAACGCGATTCACCTGCCTTCAGTGGAACCGATGACAAGGACGCGGAAGACTGGCTCAACAAATACAACCGGGTGAGCAAGCATAACAAGTAGGACGATGCGCAGAAGCTTACTGTCATCCAATTTTATTTGACCGATGTTGCCAGTCTGTGGTACCGTAATCACGAGAGAGACCTCCCCACCTGGTCGGCCTTCCGAACGGCGTTTGCGGACTTGTTTGGCCGTCCAGCACTTTGCAAACTACCGGCCGAACAGCGCTTGCGTACTAGGGCTCAGCAGAATGGTGAGAATGACACCAGTTATATTGAAGATGTGGTAGACCTTTGCCGGCATGGCAACTCAGCCATGACAGAAGCCCAGAAGATCGAGCATATCTTGAAAGGCTTTACTGATGACGCCTTTTAGATGCTTGTTGCCAAGAGCCCGCAAATGGTAACAGAAGCGATCCAACTTTGTCAGAGCTATGACGAGCTCTGGAAACAGCATGACACCACTCGTCGTGCCAGCGCGCCATGTGCAACAATCTCCGCGTTAACGTCGACTGGCACTGCTATAGACCCCACCACTTTGCTACTCGAGATCAAACAATTTGTATGAGAGGAGGTTGCATGCCAGTTGTCCCTCGTGCCTTATACCTCCAAAGGTGCCTCATCTACTTTAGCGCCATCAATACAGTGAGTAGTTCAGGAGCAAGTGTCTGAGGTGCTACCAACAGCTCATGCACCACTTGTGGCTGCTCCACTGACCTATGCCGAAGCACTGAACAGAACCCAACGTCTGCCTGTCGCAAGCGCCCACGTTTCTTTGTCGCGAACGCCTACGTCCACGCGCTCTTTTGTCGTACGGACTGAGCCTATGTACCAGGCTGTCCGTCTTTTCTCCTGAGCACCACCGCCACACTTTCATAACCCTTGGCGCACTCAAGACAACCGCCCCATATGCTTCACCTGTGGAATTGTGGGTCACGTAGCGCGATTTTGTCGATGGCGTGAATTTTTTCTGCGTGACGATGTCCGGCCCAACAATTATGATTTCCCACCATGACCTTTGCCTGCTGTATTTGGCGAGCCTGCCACCATGGACACATTTTCACCTCGCCAAAACAACAGATGCCTGTCGCCTTCACCTCAGCGGCGTTCCCTTTCCCCTATGCTAAGTCGACGTCGCCCTGTCCGTGAGGAAAACTAGGAGCTGCAGTTCCGGGGGCAAGAACTGCGGATCTTTCGAACTCCACAAGACCTTGTTTTTCGCTGTCCAACGTCGTTGCTGTCTCCGTTAAAGGTATACCTGTTTTTGCATTGGTCGATACTGGCGCCACAGTGTCTGTAATGACTGAAAAACTGCCAACGACTAAAAAAAGTCACAATGCTTCTTCACGACTTCGTTTTGAGCACTGCGAGCGAGCAACGAATTCGTCCTTTTGCTGCATGCACAGCACGTGTTGCTATTGCTGACGATATTTATGTCATCGAGTTTGTAGTGCTCCCGCAGTGTTCCCATGACATTATATTAGGCTGGGACTTTCTCTGCACTCATCATGCCGTCATCGACTGTGCTCACGCCGAAGTGGAGTTCGCGCCGTTATGCGACACTGCTTCACTCAACTCTCCCCTTTCACCTGCAAAAGTTTTCGTTTCTGCCGACACTTCGATACCCCTGTTCTCTTCCACCCTAGTTCTGCTTTCCTATGAAGTCTCTAGTGGCTCAACTGTTTTTTTACGCCTTCTGAAACTGCTGTTTGCCGCAAGTGCTTCCTGATCCCTTTCGCCATTCTGAACATTCACGATGGATCAAGTGCAATTTATGTTCCAAATCCGTTTCCCTCGTCTTCCAAGTTACTGTGCAGAGAGTGCCTGGGCTTTGCTGATGACATTGATCCCTCGAGTGCGCGTGTAATTCCTGACCACTCCACTACGCTACCTATTGACGCTGTTGACTGCTGCGCGTCACCCTCTTCCCCATCATTCACTGACACAATTTCGCGCTGCATCGACACCAACCTTATGGCCCAGCAGCACGCCGACATCATCACCCTTCTTGAGCGCTTCCGCGCCAGCTTCGATCACCAGCAACTGACTTTGGGATGTGCTTCCAAAGTATCTCACCAAATCGACACTGGCCTTCACGCTCCTTTACATCAGCGTCCGTATCGGTATCGGCATCTAAGCGTCGTATAATCGTGGAACAAGTTGATGACATGTTGAAGCGTGGCGTTATTGAGCCCTCTAACAGCCCATAGGCCTCTCCAGTTGTTCTAGTCAAGAAAAAGAATGGCTCAATAAGTTTCTGCGTCGACTACCGCCGGTTAAATAAGATCACGCGCAAAGATGTTTACCCGCTACCTCGCATAGACGATGCCCTTGACTGCTTACAAGGTGCGGAGTTCTTCTCGTCACTAGATCTGCGCTCAGGTTATTGGCAGGTTCCCATGGCTGAGGCTGATCGCCCCAAGATGGCTTTCGTACCCCCGATAGCTTATACGAATTCAAAGTCATGCCATCCAGGCTCTGCGATGTGCCTGCCACTTTCGTGCGCATGATCGACAACGTCCTCCGTGGCCTGAAATGGCAGACATGTCTGTGTTATTTAGACAATGTCGTGATATTTTCAAGCGACTTTTCAATGCATCTTCAGCGCCTCGAGACAGTGCGTACTTGCCTCCCCTCCACCGGTCAACAGCTCAACTTGAAGAAGTGCTGCTTCAGCACTCGAAAACTCACAATTTTGGGCCATGTTGTATCTAGAGATGACATTCTTTCGGATCCGACGAAACTCCGTGCCGTTGCCGAATTTTTTAAGCCGCACACCTTAAAAGAACTTAGCAGCTTCCTCGGTTTATGTTCATATTTTCATCGTTTTATTCGCAACTTCGCCTCTATCATATTGCCCTTGACTGACCTCTTCGCCGGCAACAGCGACCTTTCCAGTTGGTCGTGAGCTTGTGATGATGCATTCGCCACACTCCTCCACCTTCTTGCCTCACCTCCTATACTGCGACATTTTGATCCTCTTGCTCTGACGGAAATACACACGGATGCTAGCGGAGTTGGTCTCCGTGCTGTGCTCGCCCAGCGTAAACCCGGATTTGATGAGTACGTCGTCTCTTACGCCAGCCGTGCACTCACAAAAGCAGAAGGCAACTATTCAGTCACCGAAAAAGAGTGTCTAGCCATCATATAGGCAATAGGCAAGTTTCGACCCAATCTTTACGGGCGCCCATTCAGCATGGTTACAGATCATCATGCATTATGTTGGCTCTCCTCGTTAAAAGATCCCACCGGCCGGCTCGCCCGTTGGGCGCTTCGGCTACAAGAGTACGACATTCACGTCGTTTGCCGATCTGCGTGAAAACATTCCGACGCAGACGCTTTGTCCTAATCACCTCTACGATGTAGTGACAAGTCGCCGTCTTCACCTGACCCCGACATATCTGCACTTTGTGTCAGCGACATGCTACTCCAGGAGCAACGAAAAGATCCTTGGATCGCTTCACTTATCAACTTATTGAGTCGAACTACCTCGCAAAATATCCCTAGAGGTACGTGCCGTCAAATACAGCACTTCGTTATCAGAGATAG